ATTTCCCGCCAGGCGCAGGGGCAACATCGTTCTGGATGTCCCAAGCGAGCACGTGGAGCGTGAAGTCCACCCCGATGGGGGCCCTGTAATACTCTGAGAGAAACTGGTGGACGTAGCGCCTCAATGGTACCTGTCTAGCTACTACCAGCTCGCCCGATGACCAGCGCCTGAAGAGAGTGCTTGCGGGTCTCGGGCCCCCGCGGATGAAGACCGGCACTCCGACACAGATCTCCGGCTATGCGGACGGCCATCAGCGCCCGGGGCCCGCTCCTCCTAACGGCCGGCGTTCGACGGTCCTGCACGTAGCCCAGCCTCTGAACCAAGTCCGCAGTCGAGACTTCGCCGACGCCGCGCCCCGCGCCCGCGACGCCGCCTGATCGGTCACAGGACCCGGAACCCTCGGCCGCTCGCAGCCGGTGCGGGGCGGGGAGAGGGCCGGGCTGGCCTGGGGGGGCGGTCCGGGTTGGGGTTGCCGCGCCCGGCCCGAGCTCCGCCCGACTCGCGGCAGGTCCTCCCCTCGGGGCGTTGCCAACCCGCCGGGGCGGCCCGGACCCCGCACGCCCCCTAGTGGCCAATCCACCGGCCACTCGCTGATGGCCAAGGCGAGTCCAGGCGGTTCAAGGTCAGCCTGACGAAGTGCAGAGGCCACTGAGCCAGCTCCTGAAAGTCTGGGTCAGAGCGAGGAGGGTGGGACGTAGGGACATATGGAAAAGCCTTTCAGAGGGAGGGAAGGAGTCCATTAGAGTGGTAGGGTAATGGGAGCAGTGGAATAAACCTGCATCCCGGGTTCTGCCTGCCCTGAGAGGGTCTGACACCTGGAGATCATTGACTTCGTTCTACCTCGAGGGCCCCCTGTTGTCTGTGAGTATGCTTTTAGTGTGTGTGTGTTTTGTTTTTGCTTAATCCCTTCAACCTATTTCACCCAGCCCCCGGCCCCCTCCCCTCTGACAGCTGTCTGTCTGTTCTCTGTATCTGTGAGTCTGTTTCTATTGTTTGTTCATTTATTTTGTTCATTCAATTCCATGTAAAGTGAAATCATATGGTATTTGTCTTTCTCTGACTGGCTTATTTCACTTAGCATAATGCTTTTCATGTCTATCCATGATCTCTCAAAAGGTGAGATTTCCTTCTTTTTTTACAGCTGAATAGTATTCTTTTTTTACAGCTGAATAGTATTCCATTATCTAGATGTACTACTGAGGGGCTCCTGGGCTGATTTCAAGTCTTGGCTGTTGTAAATGGTGCTGCTGTGAACTCGAGGGCCCACCTTAGGTGAAGCAAAAGGGAAGGGCAGGATGGCTCTGAACTTGATAAAGGATGAAGAACGCTTTAGTGTTTAAATGAAGGCGTGAGTTTGAGAAAGACAACGAAGGGTCTCATGGATATTTTACTTCTAAGCCTTTGGCTGGTAGAGACTCTGAGATAAATCCTAGGAATTGATTGAAAAGCAGTAGGTAGTATTGAGGGTTTTTATATGAAAGAAGAAAGCCTTACCTTTCTTGAATGCGGGATGCCCTCCTCCCTACTATTTAGAAACACTGGAAGCTAATACCCTCCGATGTCTTCTTAAATGAACCCAGCTAGCCTCACTCCACCTGGCAACCACTGAAAAATGTTTTTTCAGAGCTGGGGGCGTTTTAAAATTTAAAAGTCAAGATGGGAGTAAAACCTTTATTAGAATAGCTATTGAAAAAAAACATGGATTTATCTCTCAAGTTTTATGGCCAACCAGCCTATGATTTTTATGTTCCCCCAACTAGAGAGCCTTTCCAGTATTCTCCCACTTGGGGGAAGGAACCCTCCAGTTATTGCCATAAGAGCAGCATATTGTCCCATACATACATATTACCATAGGTTCCTCCTTCTCTAACCCTCATGGGGCACCACTGACATTAGAAGTAGAATTGTTGTGCTAAAATGATATGAGACAAAGGATTTGAAATTAAAAATGGTCACAACTACCAGTGAAGGCAGGATAATGGCTTGGATCCAGTGTTCCTCAAAATGGAGTGACAGGGGTTTGTTAGGACAGATTATTATGTCCCCTCCCAGAGGGGTTCTGATTCAGCAGATCTGGGTGGACCCAGGTAATTTGCATTTCAAACAAGTTCCCAGGTGATGCTGATGCTGTGGGTCTAGGACAGTGGTTCTCAACCTTCCTAATGCCGTGACCCTTTAATACAGTTCCTCATGTTGTGGTGACCCCCAATTTCATTGTTACAAATTGAACATAATTAAAGCATAGTGATTAATCACAAAAACAACATGTAATTATATATATGTTTTCCGATGGTCTTAGGCGACCCCTGTGAAAGGGTCGTTCAACCCCCAAAGGAGTCGCGACCCACAGGTTGAGAACCACTGGTCTAGGAGCACATGGTTTGGATCAGTGCTTGCTTCTCAAACTTAAAAGTTCACATGAATCATCTAGGATCTCATAAAATCACGGATTCTGATTCTGATGCATGGGGTGGGGCCTGAGATGTAGAATTTCAAATAAGTTCCGAGGTGATGTGAATGCTTTGGTTGGCAAGAGTTTAGATTAGAATGTAATAGTTCCCACTTTTCCTTCCTCTCCCCTCCCCTTTCCTCTGCCAGGGTTTCCTTTACTTCCCAAATGAACTACTTGACACATTATCTTCACATCAGCTTCCGAAGAACTCCAAACTCAGGCATGCAGTAAGCATAATTCAAACATGAAGGAAAAATACATGCGTGCAAACGTACCTGGTGAGAATCCCAGTCTTTCAAAGGGTTCTTGTTTCTTCCTGTAAATGATGTCTCACTTTACTTTTTCTGCTTTTTGTGTTATGTCCTTAGGATTCAGAAATTTTCTCCAAACTCAAAAAGACCTCTAAAATCTCCGATAAGATAGTCAAAATTTTATCAGTTAAACTATTAGTTCCATTGTTTCTTATGAAGCTATTCCTCCTGGAATATCGTTCATTGTATTTTCCTAATTTGGATTGGAAATTCTTAGGCTGCTGCACAGCTTTGTTTTGGAACTTTCCTTTGCCCTTATTCTGGATTCTTTCCCCACTTGTCTAATATGTTGGAGCTTTGACACCGTGGATTCCAAGTCTACCTCATCTTACTGAGCACATTCTTTACTAACTTTCTCAGAAAATGTGCTTTGAAAGTAAATGTTTTTGAGTCCTTACAGGCTTGAAAATACTATTACCCTACCATCACATTTTATTTAATATTTGAATAGTTACATAATTCTAGATTAGAATTTTGACCCTTTTGATTTTAATTTCAACAGTATTTGTTTAATTGAATTCTTTCTTTCAGCACTGTTCTGTTAAGTCCAATGCCATTCTGATCGACACTTTTCCATATGTGTTTATTTTGTCTGAATGTTTTTTCCTTCTCTTTATTTCTGATGGTCTGAAATTTCAAAATATCTGCGTCAGTGTGGATCTTTTTTGATTCATTGGGCTCTTTTAATATGGAAATTTAGATCACTCAATTCTGACAATTTTACTTGTATTATTTACTTTCTATATTATCCCCTTATTTTTCTTGGTTTTTCTCTTGTGAAACTTCTATTATCTGGTTGTTTACATTTTTAGATTGAGTCTTTTATTGTATTGATTTGTATTTACTTTGTCTTATATCAGTCAACAAACTTCTCTGGAGCTCAGTGTTACACAGAAACAAGCAGTTAGTGCTCCCCAGTCTGAAGTGGGCTAGGGCTCTGCAAGGTTTGGCTGGACTTCACAGAAGAGGGTCATCTGCCTCTTGTTTTTCTCATCTTCCTTGGACCAGCAGCTTCTCAAATGGCAGATGTTCAAGAAATGTGCCTGTTAAGACTTTGGTTTGGAAGGAATGCATGATCACTTCTGCACACATGTTTTTGGCCTTGTTGTCCTAGCCCAGCATCAATAGAGTGAAAAAATGGCCTCTGCTCAGTGGGGAAAAGGAGAAAATATTTTCTGAAAAGTAATTTATCACACTTATGTTATCTTATATTATTGCTTGTGGGAGGTTCTTCTTTCTGAAAGATTTCCTGTTGTACTTCTCTTATAGTCATCTTTTTTATTTCCAAGAACTCTTATTTGTTCTTTTTTTTTTCTAAAAGCACCGCTTCTTTTAAACAAAACAATGTTTTTTCTCATATCTATCTGAATAATAAACTGCTTTTTCTCTTTAAAACATGTTTGTCCTGCTTTCTATATTTTCTTGGAGTTTTTTTTTCTTTACTATGTTTCTGTCTTACATAACAGAGGCTATATTTAAGTGTCTAATGATATTTCACTGATTCAAGAATGAGACACCCTCCTTAGATGGAATTCTGTGAGCATAGGTAGGGATTACTGACTGGTAGGTTTTACAGCCAAATAGTTGGATGGGAGATCCAGCTACTTTGTTGCTCTTCTTATGGCAATACTAGAGGCCCAGTGCACGAATTTAGACACGGGTGGGGGTCCCTTGGCCTAGCTGGCAATTGGGACCATCAGGGCTCATCTTGCCCAGTCCTGATTGGGGCTGATCAGGGCCAGCTGGCCTGGGAGAGGGACCACGGGAGGTTGGCTGGCCACAGAAGGTTGGCTATGGGAGCACACTGACCACCAGGGGGCAGCTCCTGCATTGAGCATCTACCCTCTGGTGGTCAGGGCACATCATAGCAACTGGTCGACCGATCATTCAGTTGACCAGTCCTAATGGTTGCTGAGAGAGAGAGAAAGAGAGAGAGAGAGAGAGAGAGAGAGAGAGAGAGAGAGAGAGGTACTTTTCAAGAAAATAATTTTCCCATCTCCTCTCTGAGAGCGATAAGCCTGGTTGCTTAGAAGTCTTGGTGTTCAGCATATAGACGTTCACCCCCGAACCCTCTTTTTAGGATGGCAGTTTGTCCGTCATTACACCATGCTTGACATCCTCTCCAGCATAATTTCTCCTGACAATAGGCCTTATGTATTCTACAGGCATGTGTTTGGGTAGTAAGCTATGGTACAGGATTGCAGAGAGAATCTCAGAGAGAATCTCATCGAGTAATTGAACTTCAAAGTGACAAAAACTCACTTTAAGCAGTTCAGAGTCTACCTTTCAACTCTACTGTTCCCCTCAAGGGACTCTCTCTCCAGTGCCTGACCTTTTCCATGTTTACACCATGAACTATGTTGTTTCTTCTGTGCTCCTCTCTTGCAAGAATATTTTAAATTCTTCCCTGTTGCTACTCTTTGCATACTACATCTTCAAAATATTTGTAGCCATTTTTCATTTCCCTTTGTCTCTGTTGTTGGTTTAT